TTATCCTTACAAATACAAAGGGTCTTCTCCCTCTCTCCCCAATGTGAGACTATGTTAATATCCCATTATAACCTCCTTGATGTAACATAAAAATTAACAACTGACAAATCCTTATAACAGATTACTCACCCACTCTCGCAGAGATCGTCCTTGTATATCATCCATCGCGTCAAACACCTTGCGTCCAGATATTAATTGTAGCAACACAATTCCAAATGCATATACATCTGTTCTTACTGAAAGAATACCATTTTCTGCATATTCCGGTGCAACATATCTACATATTACAAATAAATAATTAGCAACACCAGAAATAAAATGAAAAGGTCAACTATTGAACATAAGTGCCGACCCAAATGTGCCGAGTATGCTTGAATGCGAAGTATCATCTTTTGTCTTCCATTTGGCCAAACCAAAATCACCTAACTGAGTTGACAACAAAAAGAAAGAAAAAAATGCTGTTCAGTTTAACTGCAATGATCTCCACAAAAAATGTCTCCCCTCCCAAGTCTTGCAAGGGGTGCAGCTATAGTGCTTGATGCTATTTCTCTGAAATTAAGGTTTTAACTGTTTAACCTTGAACTGTTTGTTTCTTGCCCAAAGACATCAGGAAAAGTGAACTTTGTCTGACCAGGAATTTCAATTTCATTGGATGACTAGGTTTCTACCTCAACATACAAAAAAAATGCTATCACCAAAGTCCTATCTAAAAGAATGTCAAAGACAAAGGGACTCAATTGCAAGGTGAAGAAAGAAAAATACGAGTCTGAAGAGCAAAAATAGACCACATTCTTTCTAGGAAGCTGGAATAATTTAAGATCTATGGTTTGATGACCAAGTCTTGAAAGGCCAATATGGTAAGACAAAAAAAGATGAGAATAATTATTTACCATAGGAACATAATCATGTGTGAGCAATATGTTGCTCGGACGGACATCTCTATGTATTACAGGACCTCCACGACATTCTTCATGCAGAAAACGCAGTCCCTTAGCAATTCCAACGGCAATGCCATATCTTTGATGTAATTCAAGAACAGTTGTTTTCTTACCTATTTAATTACCGAGAAAACGGTTATTGATAAACAGAATGTGGACTAGAGTCAATCCCATTGAAAGGAAGCTAAGCAAAGATCAAAAGAAGATGAGTTGGATCAGTGAGATTCAAGCTACTCACCAAATAAGTGAAAATCAAGAGACCTGTTGCAAATATATTCGTACACCAGAACGTTTATGTTTTCCTTGCAACTAAACCCCAACAGCATCACTATGTTCTTGTGACGAGCAAAACTCAAAACTTGTATCTCAGAATGAAACTCTACAAATCCTTGTGTACTTTCTTCTTTTCGCACTTTTGCAGCAATGAGTTGACCATTTTTTAGTTCACCCTTAAAAACATGACCATAACCACCCTCTCCTAACAAGTTTCCTGCTGAGAAATCGGCAGTTGCTAGCTGTATGTCAGAAAAACTAAATCTCATGGTATCCTTCAAATATAACTCCGTCCTCGTTCCACAAACAGAACATAGAATTGGTGCTTCTAAAGATTTCTGTTGAAAGACGTCCTTATTTGGAAGTATAACAATCTGAGAAGAAGTTGCATAAATATTCTGTTCTCTGGAATCTGTACCTATAAGACAATATCAATTTTTTTATTGATAACCAAGGACCTGAAATTTAGATATTAGGAAACAAGATCAAGGAATATTTGTTTGAAACAATTTTTTTTTTCATAGGCTTCACGAATATCAGCATTGCCGAATCCAGCAAGTTCAACCAATGACAAAGAGAATGCCGTAGGTTCGATAGAGGCTAGAAAACCGCTCTATTCATGCAACTAACATCAAGTTCATCCATTTTTGGCTTTAATTTCCATGCCGAGGAAGTGAATCGTGAACTCCCAAGACCAAAATCTGAGGATGATATAAGAAACTTACCTATTTTTTCTTGCCGAGAAGATGACTCAGGATCCGATGCATGCTCCCTAGACATGCTACTAGATGAACTGGTCCAGTTGCTCTGTGCAGATGAGCTATCCAGAGAACTACTTTGGAATGAGAAGCTTTTGATGGAGAGAACAGTCTGCTCACTATCCCGTAATTTATGTTCTAATTTATCTGCCCCATTTGTAGCCTTATTTCTCAAAACTCTCACAGACAAGTTATCTTGGATTACAGCAACCTTGCAAGATAAATGTCTAAGGTAAAAGCTCTCATCCCGTCGAAGATGCCTGTTAAAGTTTTCAAGTCATTAATTACCATACAAACCGAAACAGAAATTCAGAAACTTGAAAAAGGCACTCGAGGAAATGATAAAATATACTTTCTCAGAAGATCTTCTTTTATTTTTCCAAGATGTTTCATATAAATTTATAAAGTTTATGGATGTAATGGACATCAATTTCACATATCATATGAACAAAAAGTATCTCAAGAAAAAAATGATAATAAAAAACATAGCATGACTATTAAGCCGGTTTGATCAGATCTTTCAAAGAAACTAAAAAAAGATAAAACTATCATGGGTGTAGAAGCAATGGAGTTACTAAATAAGAAAACATGTAGCAGAAATGGACATCATTTATAAAACAGATCGCTATCTAAATAAGAAAACAGATAAACTGCCAAACCTGTCAAGTATAACCCAGCTCGCGCTGAAGACCATAATTTCTTGGAGAATAACATTCTTAATGGGGAAACCAGCTGTAATTCTAACTTCAATACTGACCTGTATATTAATACACCATCAATCAATAGGAATGGGTATATACAATCTACCTAAGAACTGCACACACTCGTGCTACTAAAAAATGCTACAGTTTAGTCTATGTTAAGAAAACCAAATATTGAAGCAACTCAACAGCAGTTCTTTGCATTTCTCTTAGAGCTTTTTTCCTTGTTTCTTTTTTGTACTTAGCAATTCTTTTACTTAATGTATCTGAAATTGTTGATCGTAGATAGGTCCGGATTTGCAATCTCCTTCCGACCCTTCCTCTATCATGAAAAGATCTGTCCGACCAATGTTAGGACTAGAAAAGAATAGATGTCTCAACTACTTAGTTACGTTCATAATAGATGTTTGAACTACTTAGTTACGTTCATAATAGATGTGTGAACTACTTAATTACGTTCATAATAGATGTCTGAATTACTCAGTTACATTCATAATAGATGTCTCAACTACTTAATTACGTTCATAATAAATATCTGAACTACTCAGTTACGTTTATAATAGATGTCTCAACTACTCATAATAGATGTCTCAACTACTCAATTACGTTTATATTGATACGAGAGTTTCTATTAATTTTGGTATCACTGTGAAACCATTTTTCCTATGGTAAAACCGGTAAGAACTTACGAACTTATGATACAATTATTTTTTGTTCCTATGTATGGGAATTAAATATTTGTGTTTATTTTACCAGCTTGGTTCATTAACATTTATCCCTATAATTGAATATATTAATGCTTTAAATTATTTCATTTCAATCATTAATCAAAATTAATGATCTCAAGAACAATAATCAAAAGTAATATTATTTAATATATTATTACACTAAATATGTTATTAATCAGTTGAAAACAAATCATGTAATAAAGTAATAATAAATAAATATTAATATTAGACCCTTATGGTAATATTAAAATTTAATAATCTACAGAATACTTCAAATTTATTAAAACTTCTATATTAATAATTAATTAATTGTTAATTAAAAATAATAATTAATAAATAATAATTTTAGCTTTGGACGCTCAAATTATAAAAAAAATCAAATTTAAATTCAAAGTTAAAATATCAGATTGTTTTTAATTATTGTGTTAAATTATACTGTATTAGCAACTTTTAGACAAACCTTGTAACGTAAGCTAACTATTAGTTTAAAACTTGAGACTCAAGAAACAGGTAATTCTTGATCAAAAATGGAGGATGATGACGAGTTAGAGCAAAGCATTACCCCTCCTTCTTCACACATGTCTGCACTTTGCTGGAGCATGGCGATGTACGCATCAGATTTCTTGGAAACCTCATCCTCCATTGCTCGAAGGCTGGTTCCAGCGAAAGATTCAGAGCATGCTATCAATTGGTATCCCACTGTCGCAATCAATCCCACACAAATACAGTAAAGATCAGAACAAAGCTAAGAAGAAACAGTAACTACTTCAAATCCAGACGAAGAAACTTACTCGGATGAGGCACTCTATGAAGGATTCCAAGCACAATGAGCGTATCGCCTCCGCGAAGAATGTCGCCTCGCATCCACAAGTTCCTAAGAGTCATCTGAAGCTCATGTTCAGTGCGATCCTTGGTAGCATCATAAGCAATGATAATACGAGACGAAGTAGGAGAGATCTCCATATACGCGATTCGAGAAAATCGATAAGAAGAAGAACTAGGTTGCAATGGAAACCCCTGGTTCGTTCCTTATATCCGTGAGAAAGAGAGAGGGATTCGAAATCAAAACTGCTGCCGTAGTGAAGAACAGCTCTGTAGTATGATGGGGATTTCTGCCCAATGATCAGAAGCATCAAAAATTGTTGATAACTTGGGGATTTCGTTCTCATACTGGTACTGGAGGCGATTAACATAATAATTCGTGAAATTGTAGGAAGATATGCTTGAGGATATTCGTGAAATTGTCGGCGTCCAAAGAGAAGATCGCGAGGAATTTCAGAAATTGAATTGAGCTGGATGCTAGAGGCCATTCAGACGCTTCTAAAACTTCCAAATTCTTCTTCTATGTTTCTTCGCTCATTATTTAACCCGCCTCCGTAGTCCGTCGCTTTCGCCAATCGCTGTTCATTCCTTCTTCTTCGCTTATTTGCAGGAATGATTTTAAAATTATTTTTCTTTTTCTTCGCTGGGAATAAACTTTGATTCCTTAATCTGAATTTTTATGATTTGTTTATTGGGTTTTTTTTATCTGATTTATTACATTATGTTAACACAAATTTTAATGATATTGTGTAAGAATAGGCGTGTAGCCAAATAATCTTTGTAATAAACTTGGGGCACATTCGATAAAATTGGAACGATAGAGAAATGATTAGCATGGCCCCGTGCAAGGATGACGTACACAAATCAAAAAATTGCATCAAAGCCAAACGCGGAGCGGTGTGCTAGCGAGGATGTTGAGCCCAGTGGATTGTGAGATCCTACGTCGGTTTGAGAGGGGAACCAAACATTCTTTATAAAGAGTGTAGAAACTTTTTCCTAACAAACCCGTTTAAAAACTGAGGCTGACGACGATACGTAACAAGCCAAAACAAACAATATCTGCTAGTGGTGTATCAGAGCCAGATATCGAACGATGTGCTAGCGAGAACGCGGGCTCCCAAGAGAGGTAGACCATGAGATCCAACACTGGCCCCCGAAGGGGGTGGATCATGAGATCTCACATCCGTTGAAGAGATGAACGAAAAATAGTGGTTCTTAATTAGGGTTACTAAATCACCACTGGCAAATCAAATAGTTCGTATATGAAAATCCTTTATTTGTTTCTCTTCCATGGAAATAGTTTCTTTTTTAACATAAATGATGAAATTGTATTTAAAAGGTAAACTTTAGATAGGGAGATATACATTGACACATCTTAGACAGCTAACCAAATATGTAACATTGAGATAAACAAATCCTCTAGGCTTTATAATTTCTATGTTTATAATTCAGATCATCATTTCCAATGAATAGTTCGTTAAACATACTGTTCGTGTTCATTCCCATATTCCACCTCCCAAACAATCAGCTCCAACGCAGAAATCAAACTTTCTCCCCGCAGATGCTGCAACCGGTCATCCTGGAAAGCATACACATGATCTTTGATCACAACCCAGCTGCAAGCCTTCACCTTCTGTGCACCTATATTCTCCATGGCCTTCCTGACACGAACAGTGCTTTCCCATCGGCCTCTCGCTGCATATGCTCGTGCCAGCACCGAATATGGTAAGGACAATTGAGGTTCCAGCTTCATCACCCTCTCCGCAACTCTTTCAATGACGTTCAGGTCTCCATGAATCGCACACGCATCTAGTAGCGATATCCAAAATGTAGAAGTAGGTTGGCACGACATTTTTTCGATGATATTAACTGCTTCTTCGAATTTACCAGCCCGACTCAGTAAGTCCACCACACAAGTATAATGCTCGTTCGTCGGTACAACTCCATGTTCATTTTCCATTGTAGAGAAGATGTTTAGCCCTTCATCAACAAAACCAGCATGCCTGCAAGCTAATAAGACTCCAGCTAGTGTTATCCTATCAGCCACTACACCTTCCTTAACCAAGTTTTTAAGGGTGCCAAGGGCCTCAAAGTATTTACCATTGTTAACCAGACCCATAATCATAGTGTTCCAAGATATTAAATCTCTCGAAGGCATATCCGTAAAGACTTTCATGGCATTGTCAATTAATCCAACTTTAGCATACATGTCGACAAGCGAACTACTGACAACGGTATCAGACTCGAAACCCAACTTAAGAACCAAATTATGAATTTGACTACCTAAGTCCAGAGGTGTGAAGACTGAAATGGAGCTTAGGACACTGCTGAGTGTAATCCCTGTTGGCCTGAGGTTCTCCCTTAAGGCATACACAAAAAGCCACATGGAATCCCTCCAATGACCATGCCATGCCAAGCTTGAGATCATGGCATCACAAAGAGCTTGATCCCATTGATTGGTTTCTTCAAAAAGCTGCGCTGCATCCCTCAAGCTGTTGCATTTGGAAAACAAGTCAATAGCAGCACTAAGTACAATGCTGTTAGAAGTAAATCCCATCTTGAAACAGAAACCAAGAAATTGCTTACCCAGTTCCAATTCTTGGAGGAAAGAACATAAACTTATCATTATTGATACAGTGAACTGATCAGGAGAGTGCCCAGTGGCTCTCATAAGAAAGAACTGATTTAGTGCCAATACTCTAAAGCCTGATCTGTGGCAGCCCAAAATCAAAGAGTTCCAAGAGATAACATCCACCTTTTCCATACTATAAAACATGACAAACATATAATCAACAAGGCCGAATTTTCCATACATATCAATCAATGAATTCCCAAGAACCACATTTGACACATCAATGCCACTTCGAATCATACTGCCATGAATTTGCTTGCCATGACTAGGACACGACACAACCGAAAGCAAAATTGAAAACGTATATTCACTTGGTCTAAAACCAGCATCTTGCATCTCCAGAAACACATCCATAGCCTTATTAGCAAACCCAGAAGAAACGCAGCCAGACATCATGCAATTCCAAGAAACAATGTCCCTCTCAGGCATTTCATCGAACAGATTGCGTGCACCATCGACATAACCAAATCTAAACAACCCCTTCAAGCATATGTTCCAAGATACAATATTCTTCTCTTTGATATCACCAAATACTCTAAAAAATTCATGGACGGGACCAAATAACGCGTATAGCTGAAGACAGCGATTACCCAGAAAAGTATTGTTGTTAAGGCCAAGCTTTAGCAATTGAGCGTGGATTGTTTTCGCAATATGAACAGAACTAGACGCTAAACACTGGTCAATCAGATAGGAGTAATGAGAAAACGAAGCTCTGTGCGCACCACGAAGATTCTTTAGCAGGAAGTGCATATAACTACGGTTGCCGCTATGAAGAACGGAACTTGGATTCGAGCAATAGTAATATCAGGTGTGTCTTGGTTGGTGCTGGTTCAGTTGCTACTGCTTCTTCTTCTTCTTCTTCCATCATGATTTGTAGCTGAGATTTATATCAATTTGAACGTAAGAAACCAATTTCCCCCCAAATGCAACCCTTCATTTAACGAGAAAAGCCTAGACCCGAGTTTTGTGGAACCACAATACCATCGCATAAATCAATCTACGTTTTGGGCTCGAATTTTGCTTTTTATATATATATATACACAGTGATTTTAGTATATTTTGTTCTCACTTAAAATTAAAAATTCTAAGAGGTCATTCTATCCAATTTAGAATTGCTCCAAAATAAAGCACTTTTAACCATAAAATTCATATGATTAAGTCACTGAAAAAAAAATGTTTCCTCACTCATCTTATATTGAGGATTGTTCTCATTTAAATCACATCGATTGGAGAGAGAAACAAGTGTCAGCGAAGACGCTGGGTCTCGAAGAGGGGGGAGGTGGATTGTGAAATTCTATATCGGTTGGAGAGAGGAACGAAACATTGTTTATAAGGGTGTGGAACCTCTCCCAAACATACACGTCTTAAAAACCTTAAAGGAAAAGCTCAAAGTGAACAATATTGGGTAGTGGTGAGCTTAGACTATTACAAATGGTATCAGAGTTAGTCACTGGACGTTGTGCCATCAAGGACACTGGGCCTCCAAGGGTGTAGATTGTGAGATCTCCTATCGGTTTGAAAGGAGAACAAAGTCTTTCTTATAAGGATTTGGAAGGTCACTTTGCAGTATGTCAGCAAGGACGCTATGTCTCTCTTCTAAATTATATGTCTTTTTTAATTTTTATTAAATTTAGTTTTTTTCCACTTTATTCTATTTTTCATTTACTTTGAGTAATTTCAATCCATATTACAAAAAAAAAAAATATTATAACTAAAATAAGATTAAACTAAAAAACAATTTAATATGACGTCATTTTTTTTTAAGGTTCGGTTAATATTTAACTTCTTTTGTCACGAATTAATAATTTAAATCTAAAGCGTTTAATCACGAATTTTGGAATTCTAGAAACAATATAATATAATTTTCTCCTTTTTATGTTACACGAATACTTCTAGAAGTACATTTATTTTTTATTTTCCATATAAAGTCTACTATCGAAATATTACTATAAGAAATAACGTGACAGCATGAGTTTATTAAATGAAAAACTAATATATATTTTTTTATAAGCCTGATAAATGACTGAACCTATCACATGTATACATACATACATATATATATATATATATATATATATATATATATATGTATGTATATATATTAAGTTCTTACTAATCTTTTTAAGTCCAATTCTTGCCACATTCTCAAGTTATCCTTAATATATTAAAAACTCTCCATCAATTCTTTTCGCAAGAAAAAAATAAATAAATTTATTAATAGGAATTTTATTAAGATATTTATATATTATCTATGTAAATGTATTTATACAATAATAATACTAATTTCTCAATCTTTAAGTTTTTTTTTTTATTATGCTAGTTTTATCACAATTTTTTTTTTTTTTTTTTTTTTTTTTTTTTTTGTGGTACACAATTTTTAAAATAAAATTTTCAAAAGTACTCTTTTTTAATTGTTAAAAATTTTAAAATTTAAAATATTTATATAAAAAAAAAAAAGACAACAAAAGATATATATATATATATATAATGTTTATAGACTTTAGATTTTTAAAAACCAATAATAAATTCAAGACCTACATTATTATTATTATTATTATTATTATTATTATTATTATTTTGTGTCAAACAGAGCTAAAATTTTGGTTAATAAAATTTAAAATTCTTTTGGGTCTAATTGAGAATTACCTTAAGATCATTTAGTATATTTAGGCTAATTATGAGATTATACTACTTTATTAATATTTGAAATAATATAAAATAAAAATTTTGAATAAGATTTAAAATAGACTTTAAAAGAAAAGGAATAAATGCTTTTTAAAAGAAAAGACTTGCACGTTGCTAAATATTCATGATAAGTACTCAAATATTCAAATTTAAAAACACTTTTAAATTATATATTCCATCCATTTCCATTAAATTACAAATTTGCCGCCGATTATTAAAATAAAACTAATATACATAGATTATTTATGAGTTTTTACCCAACAATTAAAAATTATCATTTTTAAAATCAGAGTAATTAAATTTTATTTTATTTTTTCAATTATTTTTTAATATAATGGTAAATATTTTAATAATTTTAATAATATTTTATAATAGTTATATTCCTAAAAATTTAAAATTTCATATTACACCAAGTTTTCTACGTTTTTACTTAACAAATAAAAGGATAAAGTAGATAAGAGACAAGACCATAAATAAATTTAATACTAGTTTTTTACCCTATTTAGTTAACAAAAATAAATATTTTTCTACTTTTTCTTTCCTTTTTTTCATTACGATTGCGACAAATTA